TTCTTGTGTCTATTCCCCAAACCTCCTTGGCCTGAACTAGCAGCAAAGAAGAAAAGGGTGTTCACCCGTCGAGCCCGGGCAACCTGACACATCTTACCCCAAAAAGGCTTGACGGGCTTAGAGTGGCGTAGCTCGCTACCCCCTCGGAACGCCCTAGCGAGCGACGGTACCCGAACGAGCCGCGAACCGCGAGCCGCGCTCGGGGGAAACCGCGCGTCACATAATTAAATTAATTCTAATTAATTCAATTGAGTTGAATTTTAAAAAAAAATAAGCATAACTGTTACTTAGTAGTACTAATTTGTACTAATAGCTAGCTTAAATGTTTGCAGGTAATACAATTGAATTGAATGTTAGAACATGAATGTAATCATGTTTACAAAGAGATTGTCACAATAGTCATAAAACAAGTTAAATTAACTGTTCTGTGCAGTGTTGCTTGATTTTGACAAAGCATAAAGTTCCATATCTGCTGCATAGCGCTCCTTCGATTTTTCGTACATATCATAGTAGATCTAAAAAAAATACAGAATAATTAAATAATATAAATTGATGGAAAAATTGCACAAAAAATGAGTTAATATTTAATCTTTTCATTTTACTCTTTTTAATTAAAATTAGGGCTGGCAGATTAATCACAAAATAAATCCAAATAATTATCAATTAATAATTGTAATAAACATATAAGTAAAATATAAAAAGGCTGAACCTTCTGAATTGGCTTAATTAAAAAAGCCCACTGAACCTATCTTGTGAATTTATTTAGCCATCTTTTACAATTGTAAAAAATAAATAAATACATGTAATTTTTAATACACTAAAAAAAATACCCACAAGCCATCCAAAAGAAAGCTTAAAATTTGAATCTTAAATCATTGTTTATTATTGCTTATATATTACATCATATTTGCATGGGCTGAAATTAATATTAATATATAGTATATAACAGATACAGAAAAACAATCAATAATTGTAGAAAGTACTGTCACCTCTGTTGCTTATTATATTATTATTAGACAAATAACAAAATTAAATAGTATGCATTTATTGGAGTTTTATATTTTTTTTTATTTTAATTAGTAATCATGCATGCTAGATGAAAATGTAGGGTTGGTAGAAGTGGGGCATCGGACAACAAGGTAACTCCCTACCTTTTTGTCATCTTGGGTGAGCATATTCCACTTGTTGGCTAAGTGCTTTGTCACTTCAACTTTAGAGGGCTCAGGCTGACCTATGCTGGTCATTTCCTCTATCGTTGAGTTCCTCTGCTCCTGGCAGAATTGAAAATATGGATTGGCTGGCCTTTTAGGAGCATTTTTATCAACAATTTTTGTTTTCACCCGCTTTATGCTGCCTTTTTTGCCCTTTTCATTTAAAGGACACTGGAAATTGTTAAAAGTTTAGTTAGGCTTGAATTAATTGGTGAATAGAGAGTGTAGCACCTTTGAGTTCTTGCCAAGTGCAGACTTCATACAAGAACCTTCAGATAACGGATCTTCTAAATTTAGAGGTAATGGAATATTTCTCCAGTTATCACAATGCATATCCAACCTGTTCATTAGAAATCTAAAAGCACTGACAATTAGTAATTGCTATGTATTATTATTTGTTGAAATTAATTTATAGCAAAACACTGTTGAACCTGCAATACAATGAACCTCGCTTGATTGTACCTAGTCTGTCTATTATTGCTGGTTTTGTCAAGATATATTTTAACATTTCTAGCTCTTGAGCAGTTGGTCTAGAAGATGACAAAATACTGGAACGTGTTTATAGACAAAACCAGTAAGGATAGGCAGAACTGGATGATTGCAAATTGATGAAGCTATAGAAATAACTCACTTAAACATATTCAAATATTAAAGCTTTTTTAAATAAAAGAATCTGGCTACAGCATAGAACTAAAAGTTTAATAGGACAGACATCACAAAATTAAAATCATATATGTATTTAGATTAGAATTTTGCCAGTAACAGATTGTACACTGACAATATAGCTGGAATTAATATACAATTTTTCTTGCTTCACTAATGGAGTGATGTTCAATTACTTATCATATCATTATTAATTGTGATATTAACAAGTCACTTAAATGTACTGTTGTTTACTGACCTTCTTTCTTTCCTTCGCCTTTTCAGAATTTTTTTGACCTGATGAATTCTATTTACTAATCTTTCATTGTCCTGAAAAATAATGCATTTTATAATACAACTATAGAAGTAGAATTCTATGTCCTAATCTTTCAATGTTCTGAAAAATTAATTCACTACTTTTCAACTACTACTACTAAATCTCAATTAAAAGCCTTAATTAATTGTCCTGAAAAATAATGCATTTTATAATATAACTATAGAAGTAAGTTATTAAGTAGTTTACTTAATAATCGATTAGTGACTAATGTATAAAATGTAAACAGTTATAGTTATAAACACAAACAATGAGATAAATTTTACACATTAAGTAGGAAGAATAAAGACAAATTATGAATAAAAAAAAGTTTTGTATATATACATTAGTAGTGTATGAACTTCGAAACAACTAGAAATATCCACCATAATTTGATAAGTAAACAAATATTATTAGACAAAAAATAATAAAATATAATTTATATTCGTGTGTGTGTGGTGTGGTGTGGTGTGGTGTGGTGTGGGGTGTGTGTGTGTGTGTGTGTGTGTGTGTGTGTGTGTAAAATATTTATTTATTTGTTGCAAAGTTCTCCGACAGATGTTATTAAACCATGTGTCATACTTTTGTTTTTCTTTCTTTTGTATGCTGTACTAATGTCTGTAAATAAAAGTATCTCTATCTATCTACCTTGAGGGGCGCATCCAGAAGATAATGGGTTACCTCAAGCAGGTAACCACCAACACACACACACACACACACACGCACGCACGCACGCACATGCACACACTCACACACACACAGTTCGGCACACACACACACACACCGAGTTAGGGATGGTTAGGGACACACACACATGTATATATAAACCAAAAGTGAACTTAAAAGTTAAATTCCTTAACAAAATCAAACGATATTTCCAGGCATGATGGACATAATTTATTAAACTCTTTGGGTTTTTGTGCCATTCAAAAAGTCATATAGACAATTGAGTTCCAAATAGAAGCTGACCAAATGAAGGAGACGAATCACCCAGGCTGGAATATTCTGCTAAAAAGTTAATAATATTTTCAATTACACGTGAGTTGCAGAGAGCAAGACCCAGAGTTTCCCCCCACCCACCATGATGAATCAAATGTACTAACTCGCATCTCATCTTGCACAACCAACTCAAATCATTAGTAGAAAACCCCCTGTAATTGACTTTATAGACATTGAACAAACATAATGAGTGATCGAGATGTTTATAAGAGGACAAGTGAGTCAAGGCATTTACTTTAAGAAGGCAATCATTTTTATGCTTCTTGAATATTTGATTTAAAAGCAAACAGAAATTTATTTTCCATTCAAAGAAATTTTCAAGAGGAGGGCAATAAAGTATTCCATATTTCTGAAACAAGTTGTGCCATTGAGCAAACCAAGACAATTTCTTTTCAATAATTGAGATGGCTGTCAACCTGGAGAGCTTCACCACAGAAGACGTAAGAGATTTGAAAACAAATGGAAAATGAATCTCCAAAGTATAAATAAAAAGGAGATCGCAAGACGTTTCTAAAAAAATTAAATATTTGGGAGTGGCTGCTGGTAAACTAAAAATCTTCCGAATAAAAAACCATTGCACCTTTTCAATTACGTCGCACTGTTGGTAACCCAAAACCTGGCACTCGTAACATAATATGGCGTGACACATGGCATTAAATACACTGAATTTAACTTTCAGTGATACACTTTCATGTGATACTAGGTGATGCCACGATTGCCGCAACTACCTGACTTCACCTTGATGATAGTCTTCCTGAGGGCGAGGAGTTTTGCTATGTTCCGCCTCACATTGAATGGGAGGTCCTATTGTATGTAAAAACCTGTTCCCTTGAGGGCCTTTGGATTTTTAAAAACTTTTAATTTATCCTTAGATCGATCAAAAGTCACTAAAAGAGGACTGGTTTGACTCCCAATGCAGTAAGCATGGATGTCTATGGATCCATTTCCACAGACAGCACCTGCCTGCAGAAGTCAACGATGTAAATCTCCAAATCATTTCCTTCCTTGAGTTGAAGACCTTTAAATAACAAATTGCACTGATGTAGTTTGTAATCCATTTGGTTCATAATTTTATCTTGTTTCACAGAGATTTCCTTCATGGTAGCCAGTTCGTTCCGCAGATCCGAATTTTCCCTCTTCAGACCCTGAATTTCCTTCTTAAAAGAACACAGGATGCGTCCCTCAAACTCCTACTAAAGGCCATTTCAGTGGAGATAAGCTTTTATATTTTATAACAGAACAAGCTGTCTAATTTACAGGTTATGATCATTTTTTTTAGCATCTTCTTATCTATTTCAGGTTGAATCAGTATTTGTGTGGCCATCTTTTCCATGGGAGTGTTGACTGGTTAGCCTCTGCAGATCCTCTTCAGGTATAGATGTAAAGGAGTCCCATCAAGAAGTGGCCAGCGGTGAGAGGTGCAATGTTATTGGGACTAGGACTAAGTACAAGAATAGATCGGGAAAGTCACAAACCTTTTAACATGAAATTTACAAGATTTTACTGCCACCTCCCACAAACCACCAAATTCTGGTGTTGGGAAGATGAATTTCCAGGTAATATTCACTCTTCCACCCTCCTGCTGCACCTGTACCTTTGTGGGGGGGTACTCACTAATAAAGCCATTTCTTACGCTTATCACTACCTACATCTTTAATGTATAATCCTTAATTAGGACTTCCATTTCAATTTTAGAAGCAGTGGAATTTACTGATAAATTCAACAACACACCTTTATCATATTTCACAACAGGAATATGATCTGAAAACAATGAATGTCCACTTTAAATGATATTGTATGGGGTAACAAATTATAGCTAACTTCTAACATTTGAGTCTCATGAAAAATGACAACATACAACAAAACAAAACTGAAATCTTTTAAAAATGAAAGAAAATATATTCCATTTAAAATTGGCTAACCAGCGATATCCATCTAAATAAACTGGTACTATGAAAAAGTAGACAGAATCCATTGCAATTTCAATTACTTTTGAATTGTCAAAACTTTTAAATTTTACAGTATTATGGCGAATTAAATCCCTTTAGCTGCTATAGTAGACTCTTCCCCTTATATAAATTATTATACTCCTTAAATGATTGCACACTGCTGTTTGACCAAATAAACATTCATATTCTATATTATCATTCCAGAAGGCAAAAGTCAAATACATTCTCCATTGATTGCCGTAACTGATTGTTTCCAAACATGAGTACCTATAATATAACTTTTCTACTGTTTTTGTTGCTGCTCTTTGTACTTTTTTGAATTGTGTATGTAATGATGGAGTAGAGCTATAAAGCATCTGTTATACAGTATACAAATATAAAGAAACACAAACGTTATGAACATGCCAGACATGTACGACATCTCTAACACCAGACCGCATCTCACGATTTCTAAATAAATCTCTAACAAATTTGAAAATACTCTTGGTGATGAGCCTATTTGTATAGATAAGTTGTTGAAGTTTTAGATGGCAACTGATGTAACAGAATGTAGAATGGAATAAGAAAGGGGGGAACTGAAATCATAGTCCAGAGGTATTGATGGGAGGGCAGGCTGGTGCATATCACTGGACAATGGACAGACGGTGGTGCTGTGGGTGGAGTAGGGTGAGTTGCAGGAATCCTTGGAAAACTGTCAGATGTCGAACTTGAGAGGCATGTGGATGGTCACACAATTCAGAATCTTTTTCTAATGTCAAAGTGAGAAGGTTAAACATGATAATGTGTCCTGGGTCACGTGCCGCTACTGGGGCTCTGGTTTTCCGAGGTGTTCCTGGGCCTCTTCATCGCTTGGGTCTCAGTCTCCCAATTTTTGTCTAATTCTTACTCAGAGGGGTTGAGTTAGTAAAATTAAACAAATGGAAGAAACAAAATCACAGATTGTTTAACAACGGAGATAAACGAATAGAAAAAAATTATACTGACGACAAAACTACACAATTTATATTGATTAAATGTTACCAGCAATGATTTCTCACCTGCTGCATGACCTCGCACCGTTCTATTATAAGTTGATATTTTTTCCTATAAACGTCAATCTCCTCGGCCGACTCTTCTTCAGACTCGTCAGAGAACATAGTCACAGAAATCAAAACAAAGGTAGACGGTTGATGAAGATAAACATAACCTTCCTCAGTTCGCTTAGTTTTGAAACCGGTTATCTTGGTAAGGCTGGGTTGCTAGGACTAAATTTCCCCTGCGCCTTACCTTTTATACTTCCCATTATGAAAATTAAATAAAGAAATTTGAAAAAAAGCTATAAATTTGTTCAGGTTTCTAGGAAAAAGTTTAGTTAATTCCGCTTACATACGTACGTAGGTAGATACGTTGTGTCTATTGATATTTTGATAAAGAAAGGCGAAATACCTTACTGATTTTTGAGAAATGGCTTAATCGTATAGAAATGCAAAATGACTTCGGTAAAATAAGACAATATGCAAACATTTTTACTCGTGAAATTTGCCAAGTGCCCACTGCAGACAAACTGAAGGGAAAGAGTAGCGTTTTGAAATCCCGGTTTATATTGATTTGGTTTGAAGTTGATTTGGTCTTACTTTCACTACTGTCAATCGTGGGGCGTGGGCATATCCAGACACCGTACAAACTTTTAACATTAGGTTTAACATTTTAACATTTTAGGTCTTGAAATTAAATTCTGTTATTGAAAATGAATAGACAACAAGCTTCGGGGACGGGAAATTGCAAGGTAATTGCTTATTTACAGTTATCAGCTTTATGTTGGTGTTGCACTAGCAGTAAAAATCAAGAGTTAAGTGCCTCTATCCTGCAAGCATACGCGAATAAGCAATTTTTAAACAGAATCCTTTAGTAGTCAATGATTTAAATAATTATGCATTACACAGTTGGTCAATTACTATTTATTGCACAGAATAGGACGTACGCACAGAAACTACACTCGATATGTATAACATATAATACCTTGGCTAATTGAAGAGAGGAGTAGGCAGTGAATCGTTTCTTAAGTTCTTATTTCCCTCTCTGTTCCTCTTCTTGTCATCCTTCGTATGATAATAATGTGGGTAATATTTATGAATTTAATAATTTGTACGCGTTTAATTAACAATTTGGATCTCATGGTTTGGAGTAAAAGATATATTATACAACCTTGGGACAGGGATCTGTTTTTAGGTTAAATATTAAAGGACATTAGGTTATTTTCTAGTCCTATTCAAATTCAAAGTCAATTGTTCGATCTTAGCACTAAGAATGTGCTTATAATTGTCACAGTAAAAAATAATATTTTATTTGAATACCTGAAAAATAAAAAGAGGAAGATTAATGCTTCGAATTTAGGGTAGGAGCCTAAAAGCTTAGTTTCAGCTTATCTTTTTTATAAACCATTGTATTGTAGCATAAGGAATTTTGAAGTCCTAGGTTGTAAACTAAGCTTTATAAAGGCGGTCTATCGTATGTTCTACTCTATCAAAGTAGCCCTTTAATCAGGCCCTTTATTACAATTTAATTTATCGGGACTATTCCTCCCCGACCAGGATCACTTTACCTGTAGGCACCGGAATGAGCTAAGATTTAATGGACTTTTATTCTTTAACTAATTAAGGAGTTTTAAAAAGTTAGGTTAGGTCGATAAGGCTAAATTTAGTTTCTTCAATTTAATGCAACGGGACTACCCCCTTTATGTTTTAATTGTTTAGGTTCTGATAGTATTGCCCTGATAGTTGATAAGTAGATCAACTAGGGACAGATGTCCCGATTAAGCTTAGAATTTCCATGAATTAGCATGTCGAATAGTGAAAAAACGCAATTTTAGTTTGGGTGTATTCATTGTTACAATCTAGGTGAGGTTACAGTCATTGGAAATGATGGGAATGAGTATCTTGGAAGAAATTTGAAATCATTTATTAAAAACTTAGTATGTAAATTTGAGAGATCTTTAAGATTGTTTTGCCCTGACGAAAACCTAAAGGAGAGCAAAAGCCTGGCCCATACATCTAACATTTTAAATATTGTTAGTACCAACTTCGTTACTTGTTAATATCGTCGTTATCTGAAAACGTGATTTTTCAGTTTGTAAATTAAATGGTAGATATACGGAATTTGTGTTTGTATGCATTTTTTCTCGATGGCATTTCATCTACGAGGTTATGTATATATGAACCCTCGGAGTGTCGGTGTTTTTGAAAAAAAGCTCATTGTCCCCAGTCATAAATCGACTGTTAAGGCATGACACGGCGACTCATCATTGCAAGTTAAAGGTTCCGGGATTGAATTCAGTGTTCCTGAATTCGAACCCGGATCTTTACAGTGATGAGTCGCCGTACCCTGGCCTTAACCGTAGCGGCCACAGATCTTTTATCTTTTGAATATTTGTATTTCCGTTTTATAAATTCTATAAGGATGTAGAATTTCATTAATTTCCTCGACATTGCAACTATATTCCAAAAGTCTCTATGATTTACAATAGAATATTTTATGCCTGATCCAAACACAAAATGGTTTTCTCAAACCGCTTTCAATGTATTCTTAAAATAAAAATCGTTTTTCATAATTAATAGACGTCTTCAAGTCTACTGAATAAGTTATTTACTTATATACGTAACAAATGATTTAGAAATAACTGTAGTTAATTTTTTAACGATTAACACAGTCCGTCCTGTAAGAGATAAACGTAGTTCTTAGACAAGCCATTCATTAAGGTTAACTAAACAGCTTTAGAAAAAATGAAAAAAGTCTTATAATTTGTTTGGACAAAAAAATCCAGAAGGTTCAGCCATGTGCGAAAGGGGTCGAGTCAGTTAGAAGGCAATTGGCACGCAATTCCTTCCATTGACTTGTACCATTGACTCTAATTCCTTTCCGTGGTTCTTTCTTTGTGTGGAACACAATGGCCCAATCAGTTTACAGTCTCTCGTCTCTCTCTCTCTCCGTCCAACTTGAAAAACACGATCTATAACCTCTATGCCAGAACAACTTTTATATGAATCCCTAACTTTTCGTTTGATATGAAGGACAAAATGATATGGATTTGGGAAAATAATAGCCAAGGGAAGAGGGATTTGGTGAATTGATACCCTATATCTTTGGTCTTTATCCTCGTAAAGACATTGATTTTTTCTTTATCAGGGTGTTAATGATAAGGAACAACTTTTTTTAACACTGAACTCACGAAAGATTCTCAATAGTTTTTGCTGGCGTAAAGCATATTAATTTAAAATTACTCAGTGGATATGATTATTAGTTTTGTCACAACCCTTGTGTCCTTTTGGCTAATTCCAAGAAATGGAGAAAAATACGGCTTTATAGAAAAATCATTAATTTCAACAATATTTGCAGAAGGACTGGCATAATTAAAGGCTGAAACTTTGCCAAGATCTCTTTTTCCGCTGTTCCGAACAGTTCATAAAATTCTATTGAAATTAAATTCTTACTCATATATTTAATCTGGTTTTTATGTTTTTATTGTGGAATAAAACAATATATTTTATCCAGAAATGTTGCAAATATTTATAACCTTTTTTGCTGTATGATATTGTGTAATTTTGTTGGAAAAAGTTACAATTAGGAAGTCTGAATTTTAAGCAAGTAACGGCTAATGGCTATAATATATAGAAATTTATTATTAGTCTTAGAGATGAAAAGTTTAAAAGTTCGATTAGTCCAGGATGTTATGAATGTTAATGAAACATCGTTGCTGCCAAAACCGGATATAGGTCCGTAATAAAATCTATTTTACTCCCTGATCAGTCTGGTTTGGCCGATAGACGTTATTTGATTTCCACTTCAGATGTGCTTATGATTTGAAATGAGAAAGAATTTGGTCTTAGCCATGTTCACACCACCCAATGTATCAAGATTTATTTTAAGTTTTAATTGTTTTCTAATAAAATTGGGCAACAGGGACTAAAGCTGACAAATTCATAGCAAAAGTAAATCTAAAAATTCATAATGGCGGAGAGATTTCATTTTTCATTTTGCACTCCGACATCCTGTTAAATTTTGGATTCGTGAAGTACATGAATGTTTGTACACTGTTAGTTTCTTTTATTATTTTTAGAAAAGTCTTCATTCTAAAAACAGTAAAAGGTACGTTGAACAAAATCAAGCTGAACTACAGGCAGTAACATAAACGTTTACAGACAGTACTGGTATTAATAAAACAATAAATGTATTAAACAACTATATAGTTATACCTATATCGAAATTGGTTTTGGGTGATTTCTATTCACACTTCACTCCTTTAAGAGAGATGAATGTATAAGCCGATTTTACTGGATTCCGGCAAGGGATATGTATTGATCTTGCCGGCGCTTCGGGGGCGGCGCCGGGGTGGGAAGGTCGCTACCACTCACTCTCACTATCGCCTCCATGCTTACTTGGTATCTGGTATCCGGTCCGTCATACCGAAGTCCCATCAATTTCATTTGTATTGCATAAATAAACGTTCGAAAAAATGGGAAACCTGGAAACTGAACAGTCGTATTTTACCTAGTATATAATTGAATGAATGATTTTTGCAGAGAATCACCGATTCAGAATATTTATTGCATCCATAATTGAAATTGTTTTGTATCACTGACTTCTAGTCTTCTCTTTACTATTTTTTTTTAAATCACTCAATAATCAATCAATCATCTTAAGTTTTTATACTCAGATGACTGTACATTTTAATTGCAAAATTTTCTGGACTTTTTTTGTGTCTTTGTCTTCTTGCAAAACGGAATGGCTGATTTTTATAATGTGTAATATTTACACTAGTCATTTCGGATACTTCTTTAAATCTAATTACATTTTGTATTGACAATCTTAAAATTACTATATACTACAAAGCAGGTGCTTTACATCTACTTTAATAAATAGAGATTTATAGATTCACAAAATTTTGTACCATATATTATAATTAGCGTTCTTTTAACTTGTAAAATTTTTATCGCATCTATTTCAACTCACCATAAACCTCCGCTATAGTTGGCCATACCCTGAAAAAGTGTTTTTTAAGATGAGGAGTCAGAGAGATTTTTGGCGTGAAGATGACCCCAGATATCTATACTCCTCCATAACTTCAATTTGTTTATCCTGTAAGAACCCGTGATTCTTACGTGCCAGCCTTCCTCCTCTGCGAAAGACCAAGATTTTCGATTTACTCAGATTGAGAGAAAGGTTCCATTGAGAGCAATAATTTTCTTATGCAGCAGTGTTCTTCTGTAAAGCAGCAGGAGAACTAGCCAGGTTGACTACATCGTCAGCATAAAGAAGACATTTAGATAATAAATTAGAGCATGAATACCAAAGTCTTGGAAATAAGGAAGGCCGTTTATAAATAGAGAGAACTTTTTTCTTATGACGTTATCCGTTTTCAACAAGTTATTTAATTTTGTTAATGTTTTTTATCATTATATTTTATTTTTCTATTATTTTATTGTATTACATATTTTTATATTTTTTAATTAATTTTTTGTTACACATAGTGGTGGCGGTGGTGGTAGTGTTTGGTGGTGAGGTAGAGTGAGTGGTTGGGTGGATGTGAGGAGGTGAGATGGAGAAGTGAAGAGCGGAGGCTGGCCTAGAACCGGCCTTTCTTATCTACTGATGTCGCTTCGCCTCATCTGACTTTTCAATAATTAAATAAATCATTTGTTTTAAATAGATATGAAATTCAAAAAACTATAAACTGTACTTTCATGCTTATTAAAAAAAATTAAATTTCATTTTTAAATCAGGCGTAGTAAAATAGATTCGTCATAACCAACAACCCAATGCCTTAAATTTACTGAACCATTACGATAACCCTTGAAATAGCGCCCAGACGAAATGATGTTAAGTTGAAATGGTCTGAATATAATAATTTTACCTCATGTGATATGTCAAGAATCGGGTTGTCTTTTATCCCTCTCATATATGTACATATTTGAACATGGATAAAATATACAAAACACTCAGACAATTGCATTGTGACATTATCTGTTGGGTAACAACCAGGCTCCTCGTAATAAATGGACACTATTGACTGAAGTTGATAACATATTTTCTTTACATCATGCATTCATAATGGCGTTGTTTATAACAATATTTCTAAACAATTAAAGTTAGGCTTATATGTGTCTGTCAAACAAAATCACCGAGAAGAAATAGATCATAGCAGATCGGTAACAATCAAACTACACATTCAACATATTTAATGTCTGTTTTTGAAATGTCATTTTGTTTTTGTGTATAGCTTTTGTTTACTATGTATGTGGTTTATTATTTGTATATTTGCTATAGTCGTTGAATGTTTTCATTGATTAGAGAAATTGTTATGTTTTTGCAATGTTATTTAACTAGGTGCAAGTACAACCTAAAAAACTACAGTTGTATTTAAGTTCTGTTCCCCCTTTTATTTTTATTATTGGTGCGTATTGGGAAAAAACCCGAGGCACGTAAATTTTTATTTTTTGTCTATTTTCTCATAATACAAAAAGTTATGATCTAACTCTCCAGGACAGAGGGATACGAACGGGGCTTAACTATTTCAAATTGCTACATACTTGGCAGTGTACTTTTTTTGAAAGTTTTTTGATCTCCGAATAATCAAATTTTTTTTAGTTGAATTCAATTTAATTTGGAACAACTTCTTGTAAAAAACTATTTATTAGGCAAGTGACTAGGGATTCAGGAGTGAGCTGTGAGCGTGGCCCTCTCTAGGGGTGAGGGGCGATGGCGTGAGGGCAAGAGGAGAGGCGAGGGTAGGGCGACGACGCGACGTGGGTCTCCCGCGGTCGGTAGATTCGATGGAGTGGGGATCCCAGTCCTGAATCAAGCTCAGTCTCCAATCCTCGTGAGAGCTGGTGACTGTGTCCGCTGTGTTCGTTCTTTCTTTTCTCCGCTCAACTAGTCTTCCAAAAGTTGGTGTCGATCTTTTCCTGTGAGTTTTCTGAGAGCATAAGTGCCGAGTTCAAGGACCCCGGGTCTGAGAGTATCTTCGAGCTGTCGATAAATAATTTCTTTCGAGGGCATGATATCATTTTTAAAAGGTAAGTTACAGCGTGCTTACCCCTTCGTTTTCTATCCTAGAACCATCTCCACTTAATTCTCTAGCTGATTTAGAACATATTTACAGGTATACCTTTGTAGTAAATATCATAGTAATGGAAATCCCTCCCATAGTTCAAATATTCGGTTTATCATTAGATTGGATCGAACAACTTCCTAATCTTCCCCACATACACCACATTTAATTCCAGCTATTTTAAAAATTTATCACTTACATAAAATTGTCAGATTATTACGATACAATCTGACTCGTGACATCTGTAGTTTTTCATACTTGCTTGTTATTCAATTTCTGGGTAACTTTTTTTCTAAATTTTTTAAAAGGAACTATTCATTCCCTAATGTAGATTGGATCGTTTATTATAGAAAATATTTTAATAGGAAATGAGAATATAATATTAAATGATTTAAAAAGAAAGTATTAGTGGCGAATGTGAAATTTTATATTTCAAAATATTCCTCTCTTAAAAACATTTAACCATTTAGTTTTAAATATTATTTGCTGTATACTAGAAAGTATATATTTTCTATTTATTTGTACTGACAAAAAATGTCAGAACATAAGATTTAAATACAGTTTTTTAAATTTTCTATTTAAAACAATAAAATAAAACAAACGACCCTCAAATAGTCCATTTTTTAATGCATCACTCCCCTCGCCACAATTTGAGAAGAAAAAATAAAATTCTAAAATGTGAGCAAATGATTATTTAATAATACAGATCGTGTATTTTTAATATATTATATATTATTATATTATAATATAATATATATATATTTAAATTACTAAAATTACCCAACAAAGTTTCATGTGTTAGAAGTAAGATTTTCGAGTGAAGGTATCATTCATTCCACGTCTTACAAACAACTAAAAATTCATATGAAATAATTCATTTTTACTTCTATTTTAAGTTGGAAAGATGGGTCGCAGGATGCGAAAGGCAATTTCGGATAATCTAGGGATAAACGGGCAATTGGTGGAATTAATTGCTCCTTCCAGCGACGTGTAAGTCAAGGATCTTTAAAAAATTAGATAAATATAACGAAATCAAAGGAAAAGACAAGAGATAAAACAACGTTCAACTTTTATCTCATAGCTATATTGACTTTTAAAAGAAAATGTGTTTGATGTGAATAGTATGAATCTTATATTGCTTTGTTCCGGTTCCACTGGATTAAAAAGTCACATAAACTCTATTTGTAACATTAATTCCAATAACAAATTGTTCTACTGGAACATACTTGGATTTAAGCGAGGTTAGTTTCATAGGATATTAAATTACTTTAATTTAAATTTCATTTTCAAATTTGACAAATATTTGAAGAAAGTCATACTTTAGAGTGAGTCTTGAATGATGTAAAAGCAAAACTATTAACGATATTTTTAAACATCTGTCACTAGAAAAACATATCTGATGTAGTTGCGAAAGCTCTGAAGTATGATATAATTACTTTAAAAAACTCATTTTAGTCTACGTTAAACGGATAACAAATTAACGGTTTTTTAAGGTTTACATCTTCTAAAAGCAATTAATCAGATAATAGCAGCAGTGATATTTATAATCATCTGGAAGGACGTGTGAATGGAATTGAAATATATACAATCCAAAACAAAAGCTAACGGCTTCAAGTATCTCTACCATTAGAAATAGTAAATGAACTTGCTAGATTCATACATTGACTATCAAAAGTGTCATGACATGGGAGTTACATCATAAAGGGGAACTGTTATCTAGTAACGTTATCGCACAGCTTTGTGTTATTTGATTAGGAATTACTTCGAAATTTTTGAATTAATTTTTGGGATACATAAATTAATCAAATAAAAAGGCCAAAGGTTAAACCAGCCCATGAATTTACGTATGTTGGCAATCATATCAAAAAGGTCAAAGAAGTGATTGTGAATGTAACAGAATCAAAACTTTTTAAACCCTTATGGTCTTACCGTCAAGTCAGGCTAGGCGATTGTTTTTATCTGATACAGCAATATTTTATGATTTTAGTTTAGTTTACTTAGTTACTTAGTTTTATTAGTTAGATACATTTAGTTACTTAGTTTTTACCCCATCAAGTAAAAGAGGCAGGTAGAGAGACAGACAGAGGGACGGGACTCATTAAACAATTACGCATGTACAACTAGCGTGAATTTAACTTGACATTTTTATCATTATTCATTAATCTCTTCGACGTTATCTATCGACGATAAATACGTTGGCCAAGTTCAATGATCATTTATCGCAGAGAAATAGCGTTGAATTGAGTCTCGTACATTTTCTTTGACTCTCTTTTCTTGTCTAGTGGATAAGGAAAGTCCTTTGAGCTATCATATATTAAATATAAATGCGAAAGAACTCGGGATCTGTATAAAAATAGGTGAAAAAGGAGGGAATGAAAGGATGGTCTACAAAAACAAATTGTTACATTGGCGAGCGTCTGGTAATTTCACCAGCCACAGGGCCTTACAATTTATTCAAATTGGATAATAATTTGTAATAACGAATAAGTGATTTCTTGAAGTACCTCAATTTCATTTCTATTTTTTATTACATTCATTTCACTTCTATTACAATAAATCGATAAATCGTGCGATCAGTTCTACAAAAAGGATTTACAAAACATATTTGTACACAAAATAAAATATTTATATATACATAAAATATTTGTAGCATGCACGGAGTGAATTTTCCTTCTAGGAACAAAACAAATGCCTTGCTAGATGTACACTAGTTCAAGGTAAAAAAAAAAAAAAAAAAAAAAAAAAAACTTGTTGAGAACATATTATGTACTACAATAAAATAGTTATTTTTATGAATGAAAGAAAACATTGGGAAGACAAGAAAGATTAGCATTGTTACATGACTTGAGTGTTGATATTATTGTTTATCTGATTCGTTCTAAAACTAAGGATAATCCTTTTCTTGCCAAGAGACAATCTCGTACTGACCAAGGTGAGCCAATGCCTTAGTATGTATATTTAAACACTAGTGTCATGAAAGACCAAGGGTCATCAGTCAAAATAGCGTTCAGATATGGAAGAGATTTGTTTAAAATATTAATACTTTTGAAATTTTTTGTAAGAGTCAATGGTAATGAAACTAACCTTGAAATATGCACGATTTTACAGTCGTCTCGTCTATTTCGAAACCTTGCCGTTTTGTATAGAATTCAAGTCACAATATATTTAAAAAAGGTCGCAGTGTCAGTTTTGTTTTCAAATTATTAAAGCGTTAAATTCGATTTTTATCTCTACACCTTTGGAGATATTTGAAGAAAGGACATCCATAGGAGAAAAATGGCAGGCGATTATATATCATCAGGTTTGTTGTAGAGCTGACTTGACCCAGATCCGTCCGGTTATCGAAGGCTCTCATTTGGAAAAGGCTTCCTAGGTTTCGCTCCCCCGGCTCGCCCTTTAATACATATTTGACAGCACCCAAAGTGTTTTTATTTTCTCTCTCAGACTGATTACCGCCCCTAAAACTGATCAAAATAACTTTCTGTATTGCGCGCTCGCGCGCGCGCGCGTTTGTGTGTGGTGTTTAGTGACCGTTACTTAATGATTAGTTGGAGGTCGTGAGATGCGGTCTGGTGTGACGTAAGTTTTAGAAAAACGTTTTCTTTATCGTGCCAACGTTTCGCTCTTTGTTGACATCATCTTCAGGGCCTGGGATTTTAAACATTGTTTAAATTATAAAAATACATGTGAAAAAAATGAATTATACAATTCTAGAAAATTTTAGATAAAAAATGGATTTATACAATGCTAGACAATTTTAGATTCAATCAAAGTATTTGTATTTTATTTATTTCTGTATTTCTTTTTTATTTCTGTATTGCCCTTGCCATCGATGAAGGTATAATTGACAATCCTTCAAGAAGGAAATTCATGTGGAACGTTTTGAAATTGTGAGATTCCTCTTTAACAATAACTCACAAACATCACTTACACCATTTAAAACAAAACAAACTTCCCTGAACAAATTAAAACTGAAAAGGACCAAAAGCGAAAAGACCGACTAGAACACTCAAAAAGACACCGACCTAATCCATTAAACATACCAACCTCGTAACTAAAATTTCGCTTCACAGAAATGACCCAACACTGAAGATAGCGAAATGCCGAAACGCGTCTGAGCCAACAAAAATATCGAGGATGGGCAAACCAAGACGATAGGTAACTACCAAACAAATTGTTTTAACTGTTGATAGGTTTTTTGATAAAAATAATACGTGTTTGTAGTGCATCTTACAAAGGGGAAAATGACAATTGATTTAACTTGCTCAAAAATACGAATTTACAGTCTGGAAGACAGTCATCAACTCTCGTGTTGTTAATGTTTGATTTTAACGAATTTTTATTTCATGTAAGCCAAATAATCTCTAAATTACACGGAAAAAGTTGCTTGCATACTAATAAGTTAGAAACCAGAGGGTGCCGCGATGACCAGTATTGATCAAATCGCGTACGACTTAATAACTCGCTGATTACAAGAGTGATCGCTGATTATGGGCTCTTGTGTGATCAAATAAAGAGAAAAAATAGAAATTGCATTTGTAACCTTAATTTCCTTTTAACCTGGGTAAGTATAATTGAATCACAATGGCGATGATTAAATTTAAGCGTCTTTGTTAAACATTGAGTCAATGCTAACGAAAAAATCTTTAATTTCTTGGGCTTCTTTTCAGGAACTAGACAACCATCAAATTCATTTTCTTTTTATTGATGGTTGTCTAGTTCCTGAAAAGAAACCTAAGTAATATAAAAAGTCAACCAACAACCGAAAAAGGAGAGTAAAAAATATAAAATCTTTAATGCTTGAACTGTTCAAAAAAGAATTGATTATTTGCGTTTGGGTTTTCTTATTTAATTTTATTTTATTACACTGACATGGGACTTTTTCCCCTATGAGAAAATCCCCTGTTTTTTAAAGGAAAATGCTTGCTAGGCTGCAGCACCGGGGTGGAAACATTGTAGGTTGGT